AGACAATAGGAACTTAGGGAAATGGAACTTGATGTTTCCAAACTAACAGACTTCAGTTACAAAGACTTTCTTACCATGATACCTGTATGAAGCATTATGTAATGCACAGTTTGAGTGACATCAGCTGCGTGAATCAAATTGTGATATGGATTTTTGTACTTGCTGTAACCAACTTCTAAAGCTTCTGCAAAGGCAATTAGGCAAGAAACAGGAATCTGTGGAAAAGTAATAATCGTGATTATATTTTGACCAAAAGAGTGGCACTAAATCAACATGAGCATAATGTTTGAGATGGGACATATTAGTAACTCAGATGTGGGCAGCAGTTTCTTTAAGTCAAATGTGGATTGTTCTTAAAAAAACACTTCATTAATATATTAGCCTTCAATCCCAAGAAGGATTGTAACCTACAAGTATTTAACTAAGATAGATGAAATAACAGTCTTACCCATACTAGAGTCTTTAAATGTTTATATCTTCCAAAGAAGGCTAGTTTTTAATAGGGTAAAAACTTCCAATTACAATTCATGAAGTCGTTTTTCTATCTGTAGTACAAGAGGATTAAAATAGAAGACCTCCTTGTACTTTCTAGCTCCAAAAATGCCACGATTCTACATGAAATGCTAAAAGTTACAAGCTGTAGACTGCTCAGAAGTCTGGATCACATCTGTTGCTTGGATGGATCTAAATGAAGTTAATTAGAAGCTTCTTCATTTCAATTTAAGAAAAACTGCCAACAAAGTTTCATTCTGTGTTTCAGGAACATGGGAGATTGATCATATTTCTTTAAGACATAGCTTCTAATCCCTACATGAATGTTCTGTGAATAAATCAGAGTATGTTGGTATCTTGTTGGAGTGAAGCTATATCAGCCTCATGATATCCAGGTGGATCTATAGATATGCCAGTGAGTTCTGCAGAATGGTTCTATCATGTGGTGAACTTATCCCCATAGTTCTGTGACCTGCTAACTACAAACATTCTAAAATGAATTGATTAATGACTCAATCAATTGAAAATTCACTCAATTGAAAATGCTGCATTTTCATTCTTATTCAAACAACCAATTCTAAGAGCATTTCACTTTTGTCCCATGTTGCTGACCTTGAAACGGTTGATAAGATCATATCTGGTAAACAGTTCATAAATCATAAACTTCAGACTATGTTCTCCACTTGCTTCATTTAGGGCAAATACATCAAATGACCATTTATCAATATCCTGTAGAAAAAAGAGTGAATACTTTAGATGGCAATATCATACAGTTCTGTTTCTTTCTATGAAAAAGTATTCAAAAGAACAGGCAGTGTATATTCAGCAGGTCATATTTCAATTTAGCATGTCAAACTACACTTTTACCAGAGTCTGACATGACAGGGCCACTTAGTATCCATGGGTCCACAGCCACGAAAGTGAGGCCATAATGCTTAACATAGCACCAAGATCTTCCCCTTAATCCCAAGTTATTAAACTGATGTAATAAACTTGATAACACTATAACACTGCCCTTATCTTTAATCTCTCTCCAACTTCCCGCCATAAATTATTTTCCCAGCATGGGCTTCCTTTTAAGATAGAATTGCTGGTTATATGGGTGATGGCAGTTGAGGGACAGAGGGAAGATAGCCCCAATTTCTCTTCCTCACTTACCCACCTGCTACATTGCTTGAAATTTCATCAGAGGAGTTTATAATTTGGCTTAAAGTTTTGGTATCT